CTAATGGTCTGAGAGACACCAAACACTAATTTAAAAAGTAAACGTTAAAACGCAACATTAATAGTCATACTGTAATGTTGCTGGGACGTAGATGAAGCAAAATGTTGGCTTTTCCCTGTATTAAAAAAAGAAAAAAGCCTCACGAGTCAGCACATTTGCATGATGCTAAAAGATATTAATGGCGGGAGCCAAAGCGCAGGGCGCAGATGCAGCTGCTGAGGTCCATCTGCCGGCCCAGACGTGCGGACAGCAGGGCCCAATGCCAACGCAGGTTGACATCTGGCCTACACTTTTTTTTTTAATGCCATCTCTCAGCTTTTTTTTTTTTCTTCAAATGAGAAAAAATGCTCATTGACTAAAAAATTAGGACACGACAAAAATAAAAATATTACAAAAAAGAAAACAAGCCAACAAAAACAAATATTTTTAAAAAATAAACAAGAATACAATGCAAAAAAATACAAATACGTAAAATGAAACATATGAAAATGTTAAGAAAATAGCATCTGAACAATACAAAAATGTTACACAAAAATATAAAAATATATATTTGTACATAAAATACATGAACATTTGACAAAAATACACTAATATTTGAAAAAATGTGAACGGATTATGAAAAATTGCAGAAGTATTTGCACAAAAGGTAACCGAAATACCAGAAAACCGAACCAATTGAAAAAAACAAAAATGAGAAAAAATGCTCATTGACTAAAAAATTAGGACACGACAAAAATAAAAATATTACAAAAAAGAAAACAAGCCAACAAAAACAAATATTTTTAAAAAATAAACAAGAATACAATGCAAAAAAATACAAATACGTAAAATGAAACATATGAAAATGTTAAGAAAATAGCATCTGAACAATACAAAAATGTTACACAAAAATATAAAAATATATATTTGTTAAGAATATTAGAAAAAGTATGAATGTTAAAAAAAAATCTATCATAAAAGTGTGAATAAGAAAAATGTTTTTTCGTCAAAAAAACCCAAAACATTTGACAAGAATACAAAATACAACAAAAATCACTAACACAAAATATAAATATTAGAAAAATGCACCAAGAGTGGAAAAACAATAATGGGAAACATCGAAAAAACACCTAATGGTCTGAGAGACACCAAACACTAATTTAAAAAGTAAACGTTAAAACGCAACATTAATAGTCATACTGTAATGTTGCTGGGACGTAGATGAAGCAAAATGTTGGCTTTTCCCTGTATTAAAAAAAGAAAAAAGCCTCACGAGTCAGCACATTTGCATGATGCTAAAAGATATTAATGGCGGGGGCCAAAGCGCAGGGCGCAGATGCAGCTGCTGAGGTCCATCTGCCGGCCCAGACGTGCGGACAGCAGGGCCCAATGCCAATGCAGGTTGACATCTGGCCAACACTTTTTTTTGTAATGCCATCTCTCAGCTTTTTTTTTTTTTTTTTGCTCTGATTGGGCCTCCCACTGAGCTTGAGGAGTTGGGGGTGACTTGTAAGTGACTGTTGACAGGCTACTGGAGAGATTTTTTTTTTCTCTCATGACTTCCTCCTCTGTGCTGCATGT